ATTGTGTATATTTCTAATGGGGACATATACATAAGGAAATCAATGAAATTGGGAGCTAAAATCTAATGTTTTTGAAAACCATTTTGTGTGTTCCTACTTTATTCTATTTATGTGAATATATTGTAAATTTTCATTGGTGTCTCTTGAAACCTTCTATTTTTCTACATAATACATTATCTTATTTTCACTCACCTATTTCTCTTATATAACCTTTAAACGTTTCAAACCCTAAACTGTATCCAAATAGATACATCAGCTGAGCAGTAGGTCTTGAATAAATGTAACAACCAAATTGCTAATCCATTTTAGTATTGCATTTTACATGTGTATATCTGTGTTTGAATACTCAGTGTACTCTAGTAGTGGAAATGAACAGTACAATCTGTGCTAAGATGTTTATCATAAAGATATGACTATCAAAGAGAGAAAAGCTCATGAGTCTATGCAAATGCTGAGCTAATATTTTGACATCTTGCTTGTGTTGGCCTTTCTTCCACAGTTATCAACTAACATATTCTCAAAATTGTGGAGAAATATTTAATTTTTACTGAAATTATAAAGAGGCAATTAAAACAAAAGAAGACACCAGAATCTACCACTGTTACACTAAAAACTGCTTTTCACTTAATTTTCAAGGAATGTAAAATCTCTTATAAAAATAACTTAAAATTTTACTTAGAAGTTGTTTGTAACCTCAGTCTGTTATCATTATAGGAATGGTAAGCTTTTCTATTTTTGCAGCTAAGCAATTCTTTTTTCCATTCAAACATATCAGCTAAAGAATTTACTATGGAATCATACTTCTACTTGAAATTTTCAGGAATTACAAAACTCTGTATGACTATATATATACATATTGGAAAAATTATGTGTGGCACTATAAAAAATTATCTCAAATCTTGAAATGAAGACAGTTGAAATAAAATTATTCTTTGTGTTAACCTTAGAATTTCAAGCATAAATGCTTGCATGGTCTATTCTTTCTCTTGTAGTCTAATGTCAATCTTTGATGAATTTTATAATCAAATATATTTTTGAAGGCAATAAAAAAATACAAGATAAGGTTTATTTTAAAGGAATACATACTAGATTTATACCTATTTATAAATGTGATCCTGAACTGTGAAAATGTGTGACAGTAATGAAGGAAAGCATTAATTAATTATATATGAGGGTGCCATAACACTTAATTTTGCCTTCTTTGAATTTGGAGAGCTACAGAGCAATGGAGAAAGTCGTCATTCTCCAAGTCTTTGAATTTACAAATACATCTTTGGATTTGGAAATATAACATTGTAAGAAGTACAGTTTTTCAAACTATTTATTCTAATAAACTTATGTCCTATATTTATTTCTAGAAATTTAATCTTGAATAAGACTAGGAACAGAATGCTGATATTTATAGAATAGTAATCTTTATATTCTTCTCAACTAAAAACAGGTTTTTAAAACCAATTTTCATTCTGTTGCTTCTATCAACTAACCTGATTTTATTTACATTCTAGATTTTGAGTTTCAAGGGCCAGATTAGTTACTTTCTCTTCTTTCATATATATATATAGTTAATATACACTTCACATTTAGCCCAATTGAATTCATATAATTAAAACAACGTGAAGGAAACTATCAATTTCTTTGAATAATTTAAAATTTTTAAAAGAAAATGAGGTCATTGTATAGTAAAAATGCGGTTGAATGGCTGATCATACTATCAGATGAAAGTGTAAAGTTTTTCATTTGCCCATTTTCTCTTTTAATAATTACTCTGTTCATTCTCCTCTTTGAGTGCGTGATATGTAATCACAGATTTAAGTCACATGGTTTTACAATACATAGATGAAGTTTTTCTTATTCCACTGAAATATATCTGCCGATTTAAACGTTTTTTTAAAAAAGTTAAAAATAGACAGAGGCCTGATTAGTGCTTTGGGGAGTCGGTCCCCCCTCTTCAGGATCCCTGACCTCGTGGCCCCAAGTAGTGCTTTGTGCCCAGCGTCCCAGCGTGCCTGGAGCTTGGAAGGGTGAAGTGCCCCACAAGGAGGGCTGCCAGCCAAATGGGACAGGGGCCCCGAGCTGTGTTCAAGCTGACTTAGGATCCAGTGAGGATGAAGCAGCCCGTGAGCTTCACATTGTTTTTTGTGTGCTGATTTTTAAAGGTCATAAAAGATAACTAAATACAACACAGTGCTCTGAGAAAAGGAAAAAAAATGGTTTTAGTCATAGGAGTTGATATAAAAAAGATTAATGTTATAGCAAATTATTAAAGATACATATGAAAAGGGCTAGCAGAATTCATTATGTAGGGAAAATTCCTTCTCTTTTGGACAGATATAAAGTGGTTATATCTGTTAGAAAGTGGTTGTTTTCAGGGTGTTCAGACATCCACAGATTCCAGGATCTTTAATATTCTGGAATGTGACCTGATTTCTTCCTGAATCTTCTATTCATTTCCCACAATACCGCTTATATTAACTTAAGCAATATGATTTCAGAACACTGCTCTAACATGAATGTGTTCAAATATTACATACATGCTGCCCTTTGGACTGAAAGACACAGACACGCTTGTTTTCAAAATTTCCATAGACAATATTGTTCAATATTTTTTGTTTCATTGTATTTTGCTTCAATTTTTTAATTTAGAGTGGTAATTTTATGACAATTGTTTTCTTTAATAACATTTTGAATAAATAAATTTATGATACTAGAGATGTGGAAAAAATCATTTCCATCCAATTATAAAATTTATTAATTTTAAATTATTGATGAACCTGAAGGGCATCACAAAAGTGAAATGAGCTAATACAGAAAGAAGAATACCTCACAATATCATATGTGTCTGGAATCCAAAAATTTGAACTCACAGAAATAGGGTGTAGAGAAGTGGTTATAGGTACAAAATTTCAGTTAGGTAAGGAAGTGCAAGTTCAGGGATCTGTTGTACAATGTGGTGATTATAGTGATTGATAATATACTTTTGAAAATTGCTTAATGGGAAAATTTTGCGTTCCCACAACAAAAAAATGAGAAGTGATAAGGTTTTATATATATGTTAATTAACTTGATGTAAACAATCCACAATGTATACATGCTCCAAAAGATGTTATACATGATATGTATGTGTAATTTTTATTTTTCAAATAAAACAACAAGCATAGTTACATAAGAATGGGATAATTTTTGTAAGAGAAACATACCTTTTTTACCAGGGATTTTATTTATTTATTTATTTTTTGGTACCAGGGATTGAACTTGGGTTCTTGCGCTTGCAAGGCAAGTGATGGAACCACTGAGCTAAATCCCTGGACCCAGGGATTTTATTATAAACTGTGTAAAACATCAATTTACAAGCTGTTTAGTTAACATGTATTTCCAGTAAATCTATTCCCTAGTGGTCTGTCAGTGTTCTTAAATGTATGATTAAAATCATGTCTTCTCACTTCATTCTCAGCTTCTTAAATTTGCCTATAAAGTCACTTGAAAAAAGGGCTGGCTCTGTAAATATCCAGCTTCCCTTCTACTTATGATTTATTTCTTTCATTAGAGTTATATTCTCTTGGTTAAATCAGAATTTGCAAAATGTGGTTGGTGGGCTGATTGATACAGATTAATTCATTCAAAATTTGATTTTCTAAAATCTGTTTCCAACTTTAAAATCAAGAGATATCATTTAAATTAGAATATTGGAAGATCTAGTGATTTTTAGCTCTGTATTTTTTTCTGGCAAGAATTTTCTGGGGCTGAGCTGCACCTAACAATTAGAGAGAACATATACTCCCCATTTGTCACCATTCCAATTAGGCTAGCTTCACACTTTACATCACCTGATGGACCTTTATAGATGTTTCAGTTTGTAGCTCTTAAAAATAGATTTGAAACTTTTGGGTTTTTTCACTCTTAAATTATTTTGGCAAGAAAGAATCTCTCATTTAGTAATTATGAAAATAAATCTCAGTACAAAATTTTAATATCTCTAGTATATCAAGATACAGAGCTTATGTTTTTTGGAAAAATAAAATTGTTTACTGAGATATTACAGAGATTATAGAAGTAAAGTGTAAAATGCAATCACAAGTAAAAGGGGCACTATATTCTGACTTGGCCTGGGAAAGGCTATGTCGGGAATGGAAAGGAGTGGTGGTAATTAAGTTACAACTTAACTAATGGGTTGGGTTCCAGATAAAGCCAGAGGAGTGAGTAGGGAGAATTGATAGAAATGGCACTGGATATGGAAATACATTGTGCAACGACCTATAGGTGAAAATCATAGCACTGATTCTTTAGGGGAGATTGGTAAGAAGGCAAATTATAAAAGCCAAAATGCTAAATCATCATATTACATGCCACACATTTCAAGTTTTGTTGTTCTTTTAATTGAAAAAAAAAATGACCATATTTTCCATTCCTGTGTGATGATAGTGTTCTACTCAATCACCATTAGAAACACTGAAGAAACTCAGTTTTCTCCTTTGTGAAAGAGTTTTCATTCTTTGTTTTTTGTTTTGTTTTGTTTTGTTTTGTTTGCAGACGTTCTATTGGCATGTAATTAGCAATTGGGATTTTGTGGTTGTGTCTGAAATGCTTTTTTTTTTTGAATTTTACAATAAAGAACTAACTTCCTTCTTCCACTTAAAATCTAGCTTATAGGTAGCTTAACCAATCAAGGTTTTTAAAGGAGAACAACAGATGCATCTTCTCCTCAGGTGCTAAGATGCTAGTGGTTATAAATTGGTCTAAATGTGTTATTAGCTGAATCTTTCTATTTTGTTACCCAACACAAAAATCATGAAATGGCAAGTTTCAGACATTATAAGAACTCCTACTTATGGTTTCAAGTGTTTTCTGAAATGCTTCAGTTCTATGGTTGTCAACAGCTGATTATTCTCTTCCTTTGTGTAGTAAAGGGCTGGTTTGTATGTCAAAACACTTGGTGTTTAGCTGATAAAATGAAAACTGACAGGTTTTTTTTGTTTTGTTGTTGTTGTTTACTTTCTTTTCAGCTTACTCCAGTTGGCACCACAATATTTACAGGGTTTTCTGGAGACAATGGAGCGACTGACATAGATGATGGTCCAAATGGACAGATAGAATATGTTATCCAATACAATCCAGAAGATCCTGTAAGTAAATAACAATATGCAAAGATATTTTACTGTAAGAAAAAAAATAAACATTATTTTGCTGATATTTATTCTACTATTCCATTGGCTAATGTAACAATATTAGTAATGATACTTTATAAAATGTGTTACAGGTATAATGTACCATCATTTCTAAATTTGTTGTATTTGTGGACTTCTAATCACAAACTAAATCATTAGTGATAACCATTCTAACAAGTCATAGAAAATAGTCTAACTAATATAATGCATATGCTTTATAGAACTTGAAAATGAATACTAACATCATCACAATCTAACTAATGTAACCCACAAACACAAAACAAATACTTTTCAGATGTTGAGAAACCCTGAAGATGGCAGCCATGCTATGAATAAAACAGGGTGAAGTAGGAGGCAAAACCTCTAGATACAGGTTTTCTTTGTTTGAATTACACTATAGTCTTTCTGTGTTGGTTCTTTAACCATGAAATCCTTTCTTCCAGTAATATGCAATACCAGACACAGTCAGAATTATTTAATTGAAACTCTAGCTGACATCCTGCCTACTTTCTTTTTTTTACTGAGATAGTTTCTGAAATTAGCATGGGCTCCTTCAAGCAGGATAAAAACACTTTTTAAGTGGGCATTCTCATTCTATGTTTAATATTTGGAATATAAAAAGTGCTGAGATTGACATTATACTTTTATTTTAACTATTTCATTTCTTATGTGGGCTTTAAACAAATTTAAAAAAACATAAACATACGAAATCTCTGTTGAGCATACAAAGACTGAGAACTCTCAATAAGATTTATTAATTTATTGTGAGATATTACATGAATATTGTTTTAATGTTACAAGTAAATTAATAGTAGCATCTCAATTGCTCAGGAAAAAAAACCATGTCTATAAATTGAGTGGTTTTCCTGGTGTTACACTACTAGTTTGTTGTACATTCCAATTTCAAAGTAGCACACACTCCACTGTTTCTCCCCTGGGTTCTATTGAAATAGTCATACTACTTCCATTTAAATTTTCAAAACATTTGAATAAATAAGAATGAAAAATAAAAAGCCCATGTGCATAGCAGTATCAAGTGAAGGTTTTAGACATTTTGACTTTTAAGTTTTCCTGGAAGTCACCACCTGTGAAACTAAAAGTTGGTAACATGATGGGAATGTGACAGAGATCTGTCAGTGTGAAGGGTTACACAAGAAACAAAGTGGAAAGGAATACAGAAACAGCAGCAGAAAAGGGCAAGAGAAACTCTTTTCCTGGACAGTAGAAAAGATAACTGATCACATATTCTATTTCTGGACCATTTACTTTGCTCTTATGTTATTTTCCTTAATAATTAATTGTACATTTGTGCCATGTTTCTAGCTTACATTTTAGGATAATCATATATGATTATATGATGGTCATTTCCTAAACTGTATTCTCCAAGCTGTAAAACTGAAATGAGTAATGAGATTTATCAGTCCATATATTTTAGGAAAGTACTTAAGTAACCAAACTATCTAATATTTAGATATTATCAAAACTATTGTATATATTGAGACTTTATGTATATTTATACACTCTCACATACACAATATATATATATATGATATATATAAGATAGAAGATATATATATAATATATATAAGATAGAAGATATATATATATATATATATATCTTTTAAAAGTTTTATTGGGCTAAGTCCCTTATTAGCTATTTAATATTCACTTCTGGATGCTTCTTCTTTTCCTAGATTCATGAACTTTTCCTCCTTACAGAATGGACAACTACTCAATCACATTATAGTTTCAAAATTACAGAAAAGAATAATAAATTTTAGCAAACTGATACCACTGCATCATAAATAAAGAAGTTCTCTGCATGTAGCCCTAATTCAGTGAGGCAAAAGACTAAACACATCACCAATTCAGAATATTTTGGAGGAGAAAAGATTAATTAAGGCACATTTTTAGTTGGAGAATACGCCTTTAGCCATGCTAAAAATAGAGTTTAAATTTTAGTACCAGATTTTTTTCTTGTAAAGTGTGTGAGAAAAATACTTGCTGATTTTTATATTCTGCCACTATTAAATTTTTTATAATGTTAAGCATATCAACAACACTATAATATTCTTCTGGTTATTTCTTAATAATAAAGCAAAAGGCAGTGTGTAATGAACATATTTAACCCTAATGCATGTTCATCTCTTGCCTTGGTAACCAATATTATCATTTCTTTCATATTAACTTAATGCTATATGATAAATAATAGAAAATGTAGACTAGTCTGTCCTAGTTAAAACTGTTTCTTTTCCACCCATTTTTTCATTGTTCATTACTTCAAATCACAAATTATTTTAAACAATTTTTGAGCCAGTATCTAAAAGGCATGAAATTTTACATACGAATCTACATTTTTCTCCTGTCTTGAAAAACAGAAACATATCCACACTGGTCTTGATTTCCAAGCAATCTGCCATTATCACACTACCACTCCTATCCTCCTGTCTTGAGGCAATACATGTATATCCACTGGTGTCCTAGTTACTTTATTCATTTGCATCATCTGCCTCATCCTTGTAGACAATCACAAAGGTAATAACTGTCATATAGCAATGAGAAGTATTTGTGTTAAATTTTTTGCATCACTTTAATCAGTGTTTTTGATAAGAAAATTCAGTCAAAACAATCATCTTTCTTGTATGTGATGTGTTTTTTTTCTGTATGCTTTGAAATTTTTCATTTGATCTTGGGTGCTTAGCACCTTGACTCTCACATGTCAATGTATAATTTTACTTATAATTATCTTTTCATATTTCTATACTTCCTGAGATATTTGAGTTTTCAGATGTTTATTTTGCATAAATTAAATATTTTAATCTATTTTTGGTGTAATATTTTTATGTCCAAATCCCTGACTTTTCTCTTCTTGTTCCCTCTAAGACTCCAAATACAGGATGTTAGGCATTTTGATGTTGTTCCACAGGCTCCAGTGGCTCTGTTAAATTATTCTATTAAATAGTTTTATCTTTTTATACAAACTGGATAGTGTATATTATTCTATTTCAAGGTCACAGCCTCCATTGTCATCTCCATTCTGTTAAACCTATTCAATAGTCTTTCTTTTTCAATTTCAGATATTGCATTCTTTGATTCTAAATTATCCATATTTTTATAGTTTGTGTTTCTACAAACCATAACAGACTTTTTTAGATTTTCATTTATACAATATTTTGACATCTTTAGCACAAGATACTTTTAATAGCTTCTTGAATATCCTTGTCTGATTGTTGTATCATTTTCTTCTTTGTATTTCCTTTTGAAGTGGAATGACATTTTCTTGTTCATCAGATGAAGTTGTTTTGAACTTTATCCTGGATATTGTAAATGTTATGCTGTAGAGATTTTTGTTTCTATTTTATTCCTCTGAGAAGTGTTATTTTTTGTTATTATTTGCTTTTCTTTTGAGTAGACAAGTTGGTTGAACTCAAACTGAAAACTCTCTTGAGTGCAGCTCAAATCTCCATTCAGTATGTATGTTTTCTTTGTTGATCTGCTTATAATTTTCCCTATAAAAGTATAGGTTAGAGAACAGCTAGAGATTTGACATACTATATTAGGGAAATTTTTTCCTTTATGACTTTCTCCTTTCCATTATCTATCCTCTCATGTTCCATCAGCTTTGATTTTCCAAAATCTATTTGCTGATTGTTTAGTCCCTAAAGACTTCACACTTTTTAATAAAACTTTAGTGTTTCAAGGTGATTCCGAATTCAGCATTCCCTCTGGCTAATTGCCATAAAACAGCAAATTCACTTATATCCTCTCCTTTGCCAAGTGTCCCCTTTCCTTCAAAAAATACCAATTTTACTTCTCTCTCCAAGAATATCAGATATTTGTGTGGACTTTTGTTTTTGATGATTTTTATATTTTGTTTTGAGCTTATGGGTACTATTTGTGGAATGATTGGGTCAAGTAGGGGTTATTCAGATAGAAGCAAAACAATTAGTTCCCAGTTTCTTCAACATATCTTTAGAAGACCTGTAATTTTTAAATGTATTTTACTTTATAATTTCCTGGATTTCTTAAATATTGGAATAGCAACAGTAATAACAACATTTTACATCTTAACAACAAAAAGGAACACATATTCATTCCAACTATGCCTGTGTTCTGTGATAATACTCTGTCTGCTAGTTTGACACATCTTCTGTTTGTTACTAGAAACACTGAAATTACAACTGTATCTCAGGGTATTTTCTCTATAAGAAAGGCAGAATTATAAAGAGTTGGACTCTGAGAAATGTCATAATATCACTCTTTAAAAAGTGATGATGCTTTCCAATATAAGATCATATGTGAGAGTACCTTCATGTCAATGTGTTTCTAAATGTGAGAGAAGAAAAAATAGTTATCACTGTAAAATTGTTAAGTTGAAGAGTCAGCAAATATAATTGTCAGTAACCAGTGCTGTCTGTCACCACCAATACTTCACACAAGTTTTAGGGAATAGCATAGTGTATTATTCATTACTATATAAAACATAGTATCCCAAACATGGTATCTTAAAACAACACATACTTACTTTCTTGTTGTTTCTGTAGTCTAATAGCATCAGCCCAATTTAACTGGCCCTTCTGCTTTGGCTCTCATATGGCTGCTGAGATAAAGTTTCATACCGATGCTTAGCTAGAAGATAATCTATTTCCAAGAAAATTCAGATTATGGTCAAGATTTATTCATGGCTTGTAGATCTCAAAGCCTGAGCTCCCTGCTATCTATGGACTGGAGGGTACTCTCAATTCCTGGAGTTCCTCAGTTACTTACCACCTGAGACTTGTCTTCATGGCTGTTCAGTTCATCAAGCATGCAAGGAGGGTATCCTGATCTAGCCTGGTTACATCACAGAACCTTATTTAACATAATGAAATCATGAGAATGACAGCCTATCCCCCCTAGGCAGTATGTTTTCAAGGGGGTCAGTTTCTGCCTACACTCAAGAAGAAGGAAGTACACAA